AGTGGTAAACCGTTCGTAGTTGCAAAATGGATCTAAAACCATATCTTATTATTTCATTTTAACTTTTTAGGTAATTCTAATGTAAATTTAAAAATATGCGTTATAAATTTATACTCATAAAAATAATACTTTTTATCAAATAATTACTTGTTAATTATATTACACGGTTTAATGACCTAATGAAAGCAGTTTATCGAATGATTATGATTTCTTAATCTTAACTGATAATATCAATTATCGTGATAAAATATTAATTAGGACATACATATCAACAAAGAATATTTATTATCGATAACAATAGGAATACTTACCAGACACATGTATATCCCTACGTACTATTATCTACAATGATTACAAAAGAAATGACAGAAGTGTACATGCGTCGGTTTGATATTAATTTCGTCAGACTGATGAACAGACGACAAACAATTTTACACTTCAGCAGTCATGACTATTACGCGTTAGGCAACCAGTCGCGTTAAATGAATTAATCATAAAGATATTCCAGTGATATCTAAATATGGAAACCAGTGTACTTTCTTGGAAGTTTTATTACTCAAGATCTTTATTATAAAATGTATTCTTTTATACCATATATGACCGAGTGTCAATTTTTAGTTTCTGCGTGATAGTGTTTCATTATTTTAGTTTATACATATATAGTCGTATAATAAAATTCTTGCATTTTTAAATAAATTTGTCTTATGAATTATACTTTGAAATATAAATCTCTTTATCGATTTAATAATTTTTTCCATTCTAAATAAAATATTTAAAAAGTGTGAATATTTTATTTAATTAAGCGCTTATTATATATCAATTGATTTTATTTCTTTGATTTATGAGAGAATACTAGACAGACCAAAACTATTACATTTGAAAAGTGTTGGAAAGTGACTGACATTTAACTAGATCTTTGTAATTTATTTATTGATAAGTAAAATTACATATATCCACAAACACAATACGTTCTTTTCACGGAGTGTATTAATGCGATAAAATTTGTGAGTGGCGAGGAGAAATCCTTGTGTGATGGAGAGAAAGAGGGAGACGGGGGAGTTAGTTTAATCCTCCGGTTAGTAACTTTTCTACTCGTCGAAGAACGGTCACAGAAACGTTCTATAGCAAACATGTAGTTTCCGATCCTACAATTAAAAGCAACTAAAAAAATTCATGTTTCTCCGATCCAGGTTGTGTGTCATTTCCAATATTTGTATCTTTTTTTTCTTACTTCGATTTGACCGAGTGGGCGGCATTATAATGTACCAAATTTTATCGAACTCCGACGCTGATCAAGTCGTCATCTAGCATCGATCAATCGGTTCGTATTAAGCAAACATCTTAGTCGAGAGATTCAGTTGCCGATAAATAACGAATACTGGACAACGCATACAAAGTAACACAAAAATAGGATGATACTGAGAAACTTTGATTCAAGCATGAAGTCGCTTTGTTTGAGTGCCAACGAATGCAGGACGTAAGATCGAAAACTAATACAGCGCTGTGTATAGGCGTGTACATGAGTATCGATATATTGCACGTACAATCGGGCTCTCGCATCTCATCATTATTACGATATTAAGGTTTATTGAAGACGCGGAATCGATAGAATCGTAAGAATCGATTTATACCGAAAGAACTGCAAAAATAAAGTTTAGTTCCGTTATTATTCCCATTTCGCCGACTTCTAAATCCGAACCGCTACGCAAAGGACGTATTATTTTCTTTTGTTCCTTCATTCTTTTTTTTTCTTCCTTTTCCTCACTTTCCACGTGTCTTTTTTCCATTTTTTTCTTTTCTTTAAGCTAAAGTTAATTACCTCGGTAAATATTTATTACCTCTTTACAAAAATCAATTCTTAAACTTATACAGAGTGGCTCGATGCAAATTCACAATATCTTGAAGTGAAAGAGTGACGTGGACGCTATCGCCAAACGAACATACTAAAACTGATATGCTTCGAAGGGGCTTTTCAAGCTTTCTTAATACTGATGATAGCTTTCTTCATATTTTAGCGCCGATTATTGTCGAAGTAACATTATATTTTTTTGTTCGTTATACACGAGTATTTATTTTACTTCGACACTCCACTGAGGGGGTGTCTTTTCTTTTTTCGACGCATATGAAGTGTTGCCAATGCCAATCCCGGAACTGCGTACGCTATTCGAAAGATGGTATGCGAGATAAATTTGGCAAGCATTACAGGTGCTGTCCGCATCATATTTTTCGACAAATATAATGTATGATGAACAACAGCACTTCTGCCAACATAGGCCAATTGTTATATGGTCGCATACCATCTTCGTTTTCTTTTATTGTATGACAAATAAAAATCATCATAACTCGAATGACATCGCGATTAAAAGAAAGAATTGTATTTTTGATTCTTTTTTTTTTCTTTTTCTAGAAACAAGAAACATGTTTCTTCCTCAACATCTGTGAATCCGTATCAAGTCAGATTATTTTTTTTATACGCGACGTGTCAATGTTTTTTTTTTTTCTTCTCATTATAACGACTATATGCTATAGGTACATAATGTATAGTTAATTTGATAGGTGTACATGTATATGCATATGTATATATATATATATATATCTATGTATATATTGTTCATATATTACACACACACACACACACATACACACATGAACATATATATTTATATATAGATATTTATATTATTATTAACGCATTGATGCTATGCTTTTGTTGTATTTTCATAGACATATGGTTAATTGCTATCATTTTAATATATCTAAAATAATATTTTTAACACTCAGCGATGCGCGAATGTGTGTGCCTGTGTATATACCTTTTTCGTTGGCTTATTCTTCCACCGGAGTTGCGTGAGACAGTCTAGTATGTTTGCTAAATAGGAAGGCAACTGCTTCACGTGCGCTTAGGAATCCAAGGATATTGTTCAGTGTCCTCGGTTTGCGCATTCGCTTAATTTATTTTAGCAAAATTAGCACAAAACAAACAAACCTTATTGGTAGTAGAGAGAAAGAGAGAGAAAGAGAATACAACTTTTTGATGAAATGACGCGTAAACATAATGCATGATCGTACCTAAATAAAAGCATCTTAAAACCATCGTTATTAACGTAATACTTGCGCGACTAAAATTGTTGTTACTTTTGTTGTAATTGTACATAATACTTAACAAATCGATATATATATATATATATTTATATAT